TCTTTATTTTTTTTCATAAGCTTCTTTACATTTCATTCTATTAATGTTATTTTTCCTTTCGCTTTTTGTAACTTTCTCTCTCGTTTTGTCATTTTGTCTTTTTCCACAAAGCAGTAAATGTTCATTATCCTTACCATTAATGACATTATTATATATTAATGGCAATAACAAGAATGGCCATGGTGACAATGATTATAAAAACAATAAAAGGTATCAGTGAGAATAATTAATATTAATGGTAAACAACGATGTAAGTCAATATACCACTTCTACTTCGCTTCACGATTTTTTTTTTTTTTTTTTATCTTCTCTCTCACTTGTCCCTACCCCTGTCCTCCCCCTGCCCCCTTTTCCCTCTTCCTGCTTTCTCCCTCCCTCTACCTCCCGGCCCCTGTTTTCGCACCCTTGCCTCTCCCCTAGGTCTCCTTTCCCTTCCCCTCCTTCGCTCTCTCTCTCTCTCTCTCTCTCTCTCCTCCTTTATCCCCTTACACCCCCTCCTCCTACGCGTCTTCCTCTTCCTTCCCCTCCTCCTCTTCACTCTCCCCAGCATTCACTCCTCTTACTCCCTCTCCCTCCCCCTTGCACCCCCTCCTCCTCTCTCTCCCTTTACCCTCCCTCCCTCCCTCCCTCCCTCCCTCCCTCCTCCTCCCTCCTCCTTCTTCTCCTCCTCCTCCTCCTCCTCCTCCTCCTCCTCCTCCTCCTCCTCCTCCTCCTCCTCCTCCTCCTCCTCCTCCTCCTCCTCCTCCTCCTCCTCCTCCTCCTCCTCCTCCTCCTCCTCCTCCTCCTCCTCCTCCCTCCTCCTCCTCTTCTTCTCCCTCACCCGCCGCCTCCACATCCGGGCATTTGTGTTTCCGAGTCTCTAAACGGAATTCAAATGTTTGGTTCGAATCCCATGATCCTCCGTTCGGGGCTTCGGAGCTTCGGGAAGGTGAGCTTAGCAGGTGTCTGTGGGTGGAGGAGGGAATAAAAAATGTCTGTATGTTTGGTTGTTTGTGTGTGTATGTGTGTTGCAATTGGAATGACTAATTATCATTGCTGTTGCTATTATATGTAACATTATTATTTTTGTTGTTGTTGTAAAGACTTTTAAATTATAAAGAGAATGATAATGATGTAAATGATAATGATAATAATAATATTAATAATAATAATAATAATAATAATGATAATAATTATCATTATTGTAATAATGAAAATAGCAATAACGAAAATAATAGCTATAACAATGATGATAATAATGATGGCAATGGTAATAGCAATGATAAAGGTAATATTAGTAATAATAATGCTAATGTTGGAAATGATAATGTAAATAATATCATTATGAAGAGAAATGATGTTAATGATAATGATGATAATAACAATTATGAATATGACAATGATAAATGTAATAATAGTGCTTATGATTAAAATCATCTTAATAATTATCATGATGATAACCAAATTGATCACGATCACAGTACCCCTCCCCCCCCCATCACCACCACCACCAACATCCATTTCACTTTTCTTTTGAAGTCTCAGATAACCGTCTTATATGTTCAATCTCACCACCAGATTATAATTTAAAGCTTAAAAAAAAAAAGAAAAAAAAATTACATCCGAAAGGAATCCTTTTCCATACAAGTCTAAATGTCTTCCTCCTCCTCCAGGTGTTGTCGATGGTGTTAGCCGTTTTCCTGCTCTGCTCGGCGTCTCTCGCTCTTGATCCCGACTTCGTTCGACAGATTGAGAGCAGGTAAGGTGACGGTGGCGTAGATATAATATATAGTGTATAATAGCTTATATGATAGTGTATAATAGCTTAAATAATAGTGCATAATAGCGTATGATGATAATAATACTGTAATAATAATTATAATAGTGTAATAATTATAATAGTGTAATATATTAATAGTGTATAATATATAATATTTAATATGTAATATATAATAGTGTATAAAAGGTCAAATCAAGCGAATGGGAAATAATCTGTTGGTTTATGGCATCGTCTTCGTTGTGTTAACTTTTAGAAGTGTTGTGTAAGATTTGGAGGTCGATCTTGGTTGTGTAAGATTATTTTGTACGCTGTTTGGAGTAGAGCCTGAAATCGTATGAAAGATAATAGCTTTTGTGGCAAATTTATATTCAAGACAAAAGGGTTGGGAAAGGGTTTAAGAAAAAAAAAGGTTTTCTATTTGGTATTTTATATATATTTTTAAAAATTCATTTCTCTTTCCATGCTCCATTCTCCTTCCTTCCTCTCCACCTCCATTTCCTCGATATCAATTTCTTTTCCTGTACCATTTTCTTTCCTCTCCTTCCGCTCTCTCTTCTTTCCCCTTCTTCATTCCTTACCTCGGCCCCTTCTCCCTTCCCTTCTTCACCCCATCCTCTTCTCCCTTCCCCTCTCCACCCTCATCCATTTTTCCTACATCCCCTCTTCCCTTCCCTCTCACTCCATCGCTCTCTCCCTCACCCCCTTCTCTCTCGCCTTTCTACCTCCTTCCCCTTTTCCTTATGCCTTTCCCCTTTCCATCATTTTCTCCCACCCTTTCTCCGCCCTTCCTTCTCCCGTCCCCCTCTCCATCCCCATCCCTACCTCCCTCACCCCTCCACCCCTTTCCTCTCCCTCTCCCCCTCCCTAACTCCCTCTCCCCCTCCCTAACTCCCTCCCCCTCTCCCCCTCCCCAACTCCCTCCCCCTCTCCCCTTCCCCAACTCCCTCCCCCTCTCCCCCTCCCCAACTCCCCTCCCCCTCTCCTTCCTCCCTCCTCCCAGGACGGAGCTGGAATGGCAGACCCTGTGGAGCGAGGAGAGGCTGGCGCTGTGCCGGGCCAAGCTGAGGCAGAACCTGGACGCCATCTGTGGGAAGGACGTGTTCCGGAGGTCGTCTGCCGAGGGGCGTCGGCGCGATAAGCGAGGTCAGGATCGAGGTAGAATTTTTTTTTTTTTTTTTTTTTTTTTTTTTTTTTTTTTTTTTTTTTTGACTCGAGGTATGAAATATGATATTATTCCTCATGTTATTATTATTATTATTATTATTATTATTATTATTATTATTACTATTGTTATTATTATTATTATTTCTATCAATATCATTACTATTGTTATTACTATGATTTAGTAGTATTGATGATATTATTATTAGTTATAGAAGTATCACTTTTTATTATTATCATAATTACTATTGTTATTATGATCATGGTTATCATTACTATGATCATTATCATTATCATTATTGTTATTACTATTACTATTAGTATGATTTAATTTACTATTATTATTATTATATTATTATCAGTGTTATTATTATCATCATCGTCTTTGTTATCATTATCATGATTGTTATCATTGTTGCTAATATCTTTATTATTTAATTTTCATTATTGTTGTTATTATCATTATCATTTTTGTTATGATTATTATCATCATCTTCATCCTCATTTTCATCATTGTCATCATCGTTATCATTATCATTATTATGATAATTATGATTACTATCGTTATTATTATTATCATTATCATTATTATCATTATAATTACTATTACTATTATTATTACTATTATTATTATTATTATTATTATTATTATTATTGTTATTATTATTATCATTATTATTTTTTTTTATCATCATCATCATTATTATGATTATTGTAATTATTATTGTCATCATTATTATTATCATTATTACTATCATTATTGTTATTATTATTACTGTTATTATTATTACTACTACTATTATTATTATTATTATCATTATCATTATTATTATCATTATCATTATTACTACTGTCATTATTACCATTATTATTACTGTTATCATCATCATCATCATCACCACCATCACTATCACTATCACCACCAACACCACCACCAGTATCATCATTACCATTATTATTACTATCATTTCCACTATTACCACCACAAGTATCATCATCAGTATGTTTATGATTATCATAATCGTTACACTCCTCCCACCCACATCATCGCCACTTCCTTTTACCCAGTTAATCAGCCTCTACTTCCTTCTCCTCTCTAAGACGGAAGGCAACCCCTTCCGGCGGAGTCTGATGAGGCCCCTCGTGTCAACCCATCCACACCTGACACCGGCCAGACCCTCGACAAGCGAAGGTAATGCACTGTTTAGATTGTTGTGGTGTTTATTATTATTATCATTACTGCTGTTGTTGTTATTATTATTATTATTATTATTATTATTATTATTATTATTATTACAATTATTATTATTATTATTATTATTATCACCATAATACTTGTAGTTGTTGTTGTTGTTATAATTATTATTATTGTTATTATCATTATTAATGTTATTATGATCTTGATTATTATCCTGTGTTATGGTTATTGTTGCTACTATTGCTACTATGTTTATAATTAGTTATAATGTTTATCATCATTAACGACACTTTTATTATTATTGTTTTGTTGTTATTGTTAACATTGATCATTATAATAATATCATTATTACCATAACTGGTGGCACGTTTCACCTGAAAAAGAACATCAAACATGTCGTGTAATATAATTTTCATTTACAACGGATGAAGAATACAGACATTAGTTTGATTTTGCAAAAAGGGAGTAACGTATCAAACACTCTTTGTAATGCATATCCTTACATATGTTAATGTACATATCTATCTTTCAGTATGTACATAGATAGAGAAATAGATATAGATTCATAAATTATATTTCTTACCGAGGAAATAAGATATTTCCCCCCTCGCATTCTGAAACAATCAACTCTCGTCCTCAAATTTGCTACCAACATCTAGTCCTTTCCCCCTCCCCAGGTCGCCTTTCCTAAGCGTCCAGCAGGCCAATCTTTTCGTGACAACGTGGGTTCACGACCAAGGGGGGCGGCGCAGGGGCAGATCTCACTTCAGGCGCCGTCGCCAGTCGCCCTCCATCACCACCGAGTGCTGCACCGTCGCCGGCTGCACCTGGGAGGAGTACGCGGAATACTGCCCCTCGTCCAATCGGGCGCGGCTCTTATAAGGGCGGCAGATCCTGTCCTGGGTTATACCTACTAACGTATTTTGTTTTGTTTATCTTTTGTTGATTTTTTTTTCATTTGTTTTGTTTGCACTATTGTAATTATTGACCATATGTTCATCCTAATATAAATACATTTCAATTTAGGACAAGATATAATACAGTTTCTTTAATATTTTTCCTACATTCGTCATAGTAGGTGCATAACCACATAGAGTGTGGGCAAGCCCATGCAACAAGATGCAGTTATTATAACAGTGGCTATTACCATTTCAATGCTATTCTGTTTTCCTGTTATACTCACTTTTATGTATAGAGCAATATATAATTTGTTTTCCTCGCTATCATTCCGTGTTTCGAATTATAATCAACTTAACTGTACTTGATATGATACAGAAACACACAACGACAAGGACATAAGACAAACACACATAAACGTTCATTAATTAACAGATGCTATTATTATCATTATGATCATCATCATCATCAGTATTTCTGTCATTATCATTCTTATTACCAGTTTTATTAACACTGCTGTCTCTGTTACCTTCATCACAATAATTACATTTATTATTGTGATTATTATTATTTAATAATAAAATTATATTATTTTTGTATTGTTTTTTGCTATTATCATTCTTATCGTTATAATTGTGATAATAATAATAATAATAATTTTGATCGCTATTATTATTACTATTATCACTATTATTATCATCATTATTATTATTATTAAAACTATTATTATTATCATTATTATTTATTATTATCCTTGTTATCATCATTATCATCATTATTATTATTGGTATTATTATTATTATCATTATGAGGATGATGAAGACTATTATTCTTATTATCATTATTGTTATTATTATTATTGTCATTATTAACATTATGATTATTATTAATATTATTTTTTTTTATTATCATTGTCATTATTATTATTGTTGTTACTAGTAGTACTACTATTGCCATTGTTGTTATATTAACTCTTATTATTATTATTATTATTATCATTATTATTATCATAATAATTATTATCTTTATTATCATTATTGTTATTATTGGTATTATTATTATTATCATTGTTATTCTTATTGCTGTTATTATTACAAGTATTATTTCTATTACTATCATTATTGTTTCTACTATTATCACTATCAACATTATCATCACTATTATTATAACAATGATAATTATTATTATTATTATTATTATTATTATTATTATTATTATTATTATTATAGTTACCAGTATTACTATTGTTATTCTTAGTGCTAATATTATTATCTTCATTATTATTGTTATTATAATTATCACTGTCACTATCGGTAGCTGTAGTAGTAGTAGTTGTTGTTGTTGTTATTATTATTATTTATATCATTAATAACATTGTTATAATTATTATTACTATTGTTATTATTTTATTATTCCTTTTTATTATTTTCACTATCGTTATTACTGTGATTAATGATAGTAGTAGTAGTAATAGAAGTAATAACAACAGATTCATTAATATTATTTCATCATCGTATCATAATGTATATTATTTTTATTATTAATATTAATGTATATTGCTATTGTTGTTATTGTTAAATATTTTTGTCATTATCACCTTTGCCAATATTATTAATGTATTATCAATATATTCATTATTATAAATATTATTATTATCATTATTGATATGATTATTATTATTGTTATTATTATTATTATTATTATTATTATTATTATTATTATCATTATTATTATTATTATTATTATTATTATCGTCATTATTATGATAATTATTACTATTCTTCTTGTTATTCTTATTGTTATTGTTATTACTATTATTATCATTATTATTATTATTATTATTATTATATCTGTTATTATTATCATTATTATTGTCATTGCTATTATTATTATTTTCATTATCAGTATCACAAGTCTTATTACTATTATTATTGTTATTATTATTACTATCATTATTATTACTATTGCTATTATTATTATTATTATTATTATTATTAATTATATTATTATTATTATTATTATTATTACTATTATTATTACTATTATCGTAATAATTGTTATTATTGTTATTATTATTATTATCATTATTATCATTATTATTTTTATTAATATTATTATTTTTATTATTATTTTTTTTACTGTTATTATTATCATTACTATTATTATTATTATTCACGTTATTGTTATTATTTTTATGATTACTATTAGTAGTAGTAGTAGTTTTATTAGTAATCATTATCATTATTATTGTTATTGTTATTATCATCAGTATTACTATTATCGTTTTTATTATTAGTTTGTAGTTTTTGTAGCAGTAGTAGTATCATTATTATCATCATTATCATTATTATTATTTATTATTATTATTATCATTATTATTGTTGCTGTTCTCATAATCATCATTAATATTACTATTATTGTTATTATCATTATTATTATTATTATTATTATTATTATTATTACTATTATTACTATTATTATTATTATTATTATTATTATTATTATCATTATTATTATTATTGTTATTATTGCTATCATTATTAATATTGCTATTATGATTATTATCACTACTAATTATCATTATTATTATTATTATTATTATTATTATTATTATTATCGTTTTGTTATTATAATTACTATTACTATGATTGTTATTATTATTACTATTATTGTTATTTGTTGTTAATATCATAATAATTCTTATCGTTCTTTTTATTATCATTATTGTTATTATTATCATTATTATTATTTATATTATTATCATTATTATCATTATTACTATTATTATTACTATCATTATTGTTATTGTTATTATTATTATTTTTTTTATTATTATCATTATCATTATCATTATTGTTATCATTGTTGATATATTTATTATTATTATTATTTTTGTTTTCATAAGTATCTTTTTGTCTTTATGATTTTTATTATTGTAATCATTTTCCTGATTATCATTATTATCATTACAATTTTTGTCATTTTTATCAGTATTATTCTTATTGTTTTTGTTATTATCATTATTATTATTATTATCATCATTATTATTATTACTATTACTATTATTATTATTATTATTATTATTATTATTATCATTATTGTTATTATTATTTTTGTTACTATTATTATTATTAATATTGTTATCATTATTATTATTATTATTATTATCAGTAGTAGTAGTATTGCTATTATGTTATCATTGTTATTATTATTATTATTATTATTATTATTAATATTATTATTATTAATGTTGTTATTAATATTATTATCATCATCATCATTATCATTATCATTATCATTATTATTATTATCATTATTACTGTTGTTATTATTATTAGTAGTAGTAGTAGTAGCAGAAGTAGTATAGTTATTATCATTATTATCATAATTGTTATTATTGCTGTTGTTGTTGTTTATTGTTGATTTTATTATTGTTATTATTATTATAATTATTACTATTTATTTTTTTATTATTATTGTTGCTATTGTCATTATCATTATCACTATTATCATTATCATTATCATTATTATTATTATTATTATTATTATTATTATTATTATTATTATTACTATTACTATTATTATTATTATAACAATAATAATTATTATTATTATTATTATTATTATTATTATTGTCATTATTATTATTATTATTATTATTATTATCATTATTATTATTGTTATTATTATCTTTATTATTATTGTTATCAATATTGTTATTATCATTATTATTATTATCTTTTTTATCATTATCATTATAATTATTGTTTTTTATCATCATCGTCATTATTATTATTATTATTATTATTATTATTGTTGTTGATGTTGTTGTTGTTTTTCATCATCATCGTCATTATTATTATTATTATTATTATTATTATTATTATTATTATTATTATTATCATTATCATTATTATTACCATTATTGTTAATAATGTTCTGATTTTTTATGATTATCATAGATGATATAATTTTTTTTCCTTTATTATCATCATTATATTTGTCATTAATTGTTATTTTTTATCATTATCATTACTATTATCATTATCATCATGGTTTCTATTATTCATTATTATTATTGCTATTATTATTAATATCATCATCATAATTAGCATTACTATTATTGATATAGTTATTACTGTTATCATCATTATTATTTTTTATTATTTTTTTTTTATTATTCCTATTTTATGACACTTATAAGTAGTTCTATTATTATTTTTATCATTATTATTAGTATTAGTATTAGTACTGTCATTATCATCATCATCATCACCATCATCATCATCATTATTGTCATTATTATTATTATCATTATCACTATTATCCTTAAAATTATCATCATTATTATCATTACTGCAAGCACATATGGTAAAATCAATATTATATTTTTTATTATAAATAGCATCATATTAATAGTCCTAGTTATTATTATACTATTATTATGTTCATTTATGTTATTATTGCTATTGTAATTATCATCATAATACTAATAATGAAAATGATAATGATAATATTAATACTGCAGATAATAATAATAATGATAATATTAATACTGCAGATAATAATAATAATGATGATAATAATAATAATAGTTATAATAATAACAATAATAATAATAATAATAATAATAATAATATTAATAATAATAATAATAATAATATTAATAATAATAATCATAATAATGATTATTATTATCATCATTATTATTATCATGTCTACTGCTGCTATTTTCTATTTTTATTACTCTTATTATAATTATTATTATTGACAATGATATCATTATTATTACTATTATCATTATTTTAATTACTGTTGTTATTTTATTATTTTTACTATTATTACTAGCATTATCATTTTTGTTATCATCGTTATTATAGTTTATATTCCTATGTTTTATCATGACTATTTTCCCTACTATTATTATTGTTATTACTACTACTACTACTACTGTTATTATTATCATTATTGTTGCAATTAGTATT